GAACCGCTATAGATGCTATTCGTGACGAAGAAGTTTTTTTAGCTCTGAGAAGTAAAATACCATTTCTTACGAATAGAGGCAAAGGTTCTCATCCCAGGTATTTGTCTACAAGAAGAAGTTGCGATCACCGGAATCGTAATTTTATTTATCGGAGCTCAGATGAATAACATTACGATTCCGATGATCGTAATGACTTCTTCTCAATAACATGTCTGAAAAAAAATTATTTGCTGGCTGCCGTTTTAGACCTCAGGGCAGACCAACTGGGAATGCTGTGTGAATCCCAAAGTTATTCCAAGGGTCTTGGATTGCCCCATTGTCGTTTTTTTCAGGCCATTTAGTTTACCCTGCTTCTTCCTAGATGGCACCAACTTCCCAAAATGCTGGAAGCGAGATGCGCAACTGCAGCCGTCGCGCTGTCTGGCGGACGTGTATTCGTGTTCGGCGGCTGGAACGGCAAATCCTCTCTTGTCTCCGTCGAATGCTGTCACCTTCAGACTGACTGGTCCCGAACTATTGAGACAGCCAGGACGGAGGTGTTTTGGCGACCGCTGGAGTCAATGGGGACGCCTCGGTACTTTCACGCAGCGGTGTCCTTCAAGCGAAAGATACTAATTGCTGGCGGTTACCGCCGAGACGAAACCAATCAACGCATTGTACAAAGTGTCGTGGAGGTTTTTTCTCCGCCAAATGCGGAACGTCCACGTGGCGAGTGGACGCGGGTTGCGGATCTGCTAGTACCGCGACAGGGGCTGGTCCTCCTAGTTATAAAAGACGGACTTTACGCTTTGGGTTAGCTCTTCCCCTTGCTGCTGCTATATTCGGGCATTTTTAGTGCTGCTTAAGAGATTGGCGTGAAATATGTGTTGAACAAGGTGTTTGATAGCTCCTGCCTTTTCATTTGTAGCTTTGCAGTTGGTGTGATCTACATACGTGTTCATTTGAATCTGCACATTTTTCCTTTCCATTAGGAGGCGCAGCAGATCCAAGGAGTAGGATTGAAAAATTAATCTCGGGTGACCCACCAGCTGTAGCCGAAGACTTATCCTCCTGGTCTTGGGCTGCACTAGATTCCCCAAACGATCTTAATTGCATCTACGGAGCGGTAGTTATTTAACACTTTCAAACTGCTTCTTATGACCTTTTAGAGAAGAGACAGTGTACCTATTACATTCTTTGCATTTATCTTCCTTTAGTATATTTTAATCTGAAAACTTGGATCTTTCTCAGAATTTGCCTTTTAATGCCTAATTCATTCGAAATAGACGATCGTTCTGAAGAGAGATTTGCTATGTAACTTGGTTATAGAAGAAAGTGACGCGATGACTGGGTCGGCAATTGTATCATTCTGAGGTTTCGCCATCACACGAAATGCCATCATCAGACAAGGGAGAAAATAGCAAGCGGCGGCATGTTTTGTACTCTAGCTACGACTAGATATGGGGTAAGGCGGAGGGGTGGCATTCGTGATTGGTCCATGCTCACGCCGTCTCGTGTCACGTATGTGTGTGTCCTTAGTACCGTGTCCTGTCTCCTTTGCGTGACAACGTGCGTGTCTGAACAGGATATGGGCTGTGCTTCCCTGGTTGTGCGCACAGAGGGCGAAATATAAGGGTGGAATATCCACATGCCTGCTGATGGAATTGGAGTGCGACACCCAGGCCTCCAGTAGTTTTCGCCCCGTCTTATTAGCGGCGCGTGCCCTTGGAATCGAATTCGTGGCCTTTTTCCGGAGCGTGGGTCGCGATCCGGGACAGAGGTCGGCTTTCCGCATTGCCCGTTTTTAATCCGTTATTCGTGAGGTAAGTCGTCGCCTGACCAGCCCTGTATAATGCCAAGAACAGTCGCGACATGGCATTTGATAAACGAAGGTATACTACTCACCTACTTCCAGTAGGTATTTTATTAGCATGACGCGTGAACGCTAGGTAGTTGTCGGACGATGACCAATAATCACACCGAGTTCTGCGGTGGTACGTTCAGTTGCTTCTGACGCATTTTTATGTACGGTAGCCGGTGCCAGTGTTTTGGTGGACGTGTACGGACGCATCGGCTTAAGAAGGTGTTCAGGTTTCAATTCCTTGTCAGCTGGTCCCTAAGATGCCGTATTTTTCGCAGTTGTTCCCCAGGTTCACTGCAATGCGTTTTTATCCTCTGAAAGAGTGCTCTACCACAGCCGTGTTTGTGCGCCATTGGGTGGTTAATATGGAAGCTTAGCACTTGCATTATGTTAGTCACCTTTATCTAAACCGTGCTGCGGAGTTTCCCATTGGCTCTGCGTGTGACGAGGACATCCAGGAACGGCAGGCGTCCGGCATTTTCCTTTTTGTGAGTTTGATGTCGGGGGAAGAAGCCGTAAAGCAGATTATCGAAGCCTGCTAGCCGGTTTCGTTCTATTGAAATGAAAGTGTCGTCCACATATCGGTACCACAATATAGGTTCGAATTGACTAAACACAGCCTTTTCCAGCTATTGTAGGACCATTTCTGCGATAAGACTGGAAATTGGGCAATTCATCGGCGTCTTTTTAGTCTGTGCGTATGTTCGGTCATTACGCTTGAAAAAGTTTCGTTGGCAGATCACAAAGAGGTGCATTTGATAGTCAATTTTAGAGGACCCCATCGATTCGTCGAATATTTCTTCGAGTCTTTTGCGTAGGACGTCGCGTGCCAGGTCCGGTGGGATAGATGTGATAAATGAAACGACATCCAACGCGTCCTCTTCTTCGGTTCAAAAAGAACCTGGGACATGCAATATTTGCTTGTATTCGTAACATGATTATGTTGGAATTGCGCTCACCAACCGGGTTACGGGACATGCTCTTATCATTGCGGTTTGAGCCCTCAAACTTTTGTACTGTCTTTTAGCTAACTGGCTGTCAAGGCTGAGGAGTTTAAGTGACGTTTGACTGCACGTTCGAGGTTCTTGCTGCCAAAACTACCACGCAAAATGACCCATGTGCCTAGTTCATACAGTGTTCCGTTTCCACTATCGTGTACCTTAAAAAGAAAATTGGGAAACACTTGCTTGGTAGTGTGTTCCTGCATGTTGATTGGGAGATTTGGTCGGCGTTATTTTATTGGCAAGATGTCTCATTGCTAGTTTCGATTAAAGCCGCTCATACGGCTGCGTGTGAGATGTTAGCTGAAGTAGTCGTATGCCCAGGTTTTCATTGCCTAGTTACCATACACGGGGCGTTTGCACGTTTGTAGGTGTTAATTGCGATCTACCTTACCTTGGGCATAAAACCGACCTCAATCTCCTTTCATCACCAATGGGTAGGGTAGAAAATGAAAACAAATGGTTAGAGCGTTGGTCTTCTGATCACCAAGTCGCAGGTTTGTGCCTCGGGCGGTGCACCGCTTTGGGTTGAGTATCGCCGGCTGATGACAGCTAAGGAGCTAGAAATGGTCGTTCCAGTCTCCCTTATCTTTGCCGTTACAAGCATCTGCCTATAGGACTAGCCATTGTGCGGTTGCTAGCGTAGCTCAGGAGCAAATCCCAACGCAGAACTGGACAAGTGAGCCTACCTTAGTCTGGCCAATCACCTCACTGAGGCTGACGCGCAAAAGACCTTGTTGACCGCTTGTGCCAACTCCCGCTCCGACAAACCTCCGCTCCGACCACCTCGGGGCCGGATTACACTCGTGCGAGTCAAATTCTTCCTACATATTCACTCATATACAGAATAAACTATTCCTTCCACTCGGGCCTCCTACTTCTCCGTCTTACCAGAAGGAATCGGGTCTGATGATCGATCTGGCTAGATTTTTAACTTACTAATTGAATTCCTCCCCCTTGCGATAGATTTGCCATCGACATCCCACTCAATGACCGCCTGTATAATCCCGGAATCCTTCGCCTGTAGTCGCCTGATTTTTGAAAGTCTGCAGGTAGTAGCACATTATAGGGTTTGAGTTGCATCAAAACCCCACGACGTGGACAAGATATCTTATCCAATGCATGGAATCCACGAATTCTGATACCGTAGGCTGACTACCCAGATATCCCTTGTGAAGCAATAACTGTAGGACCCATCGTATGATTACTATACACGTGATGCGTTCTGGTGGAAGTGAACCCAACAAGCCAAATGCTCGAAAGCCTCAAAAAGTAGCTTAGCTCATGTGGAACTTAATCCCGACTCGTGATCGGGGTCTTGTAGCAAGGGTGGTTAAAGCCTTGCTGGTATACAGGCTTTTTTTTAATGCTGTCGTGGATTCTAACCATATCGATGCCGCCGAGAACTTCACAATAGCGTATTCCAATGGTGATGAGCATAAAAAGTCCTCTAAAGGCATATCAGAGCAGGTCTCTCCTTTGTGCATACATGAACTATTGGATAGCACGAGCGCGCGGATTCAAAATGATCCACAGTTGCATAAGCACTTAAGGGTTTAAATATTTAACGTTATTTGAAACCAGTACCGTTTAAAAGGTTGTCATTGAATAACTGTATGTCAGCTTGAAATGCTAACAATTTGAGTTGTACTAGTTTTTGAATGCTTCGTGATTGCATAGGTAAGCCATCCAGTTTTTGGAGTTGTGCATACTTAACTGTATTACTGAAACGTTATTTTCCCGCAAAAAACTCGAAAAAGGTGAAAATCACGAGAATATCAGAATTTGTTGACGTCATATAATTTCGTGACCTCTTACGTAACTGCAAACGGTCGTTGCCGATTAGTAAGGTACTTAACTTTCCAATTAAGCGTCAGTCTAGAAGGGTTAAACTTGATAGGTAAAGAGAGTAGAAACTATGAGTTTTAGATGTGGGCGCGGATGCACTCAGGCCCTACCACCGGAAGCGCATGTCAGTGGAGTGATGCGCGCAGACAAACAGCGAACGCTAACGACCATTCACAGAATGTGGGAAACTATTGATCAGTGGCAAGAAATAATACTGTTCGCATGCTGTAGGAGTATTCCAGAAGGATAAGGGCCTTATAAATAGAATTTAGTGGACAAGCTAAAGATCCGACTCAGATACACCATTTACAGTCTCAACTTCCGGAAAGTATTGGTCAACCTTTACAACCACGTAGCAAGTTGTCATGGAAGTAGAATCGTAAACTTGACAAAACTGTTTTGAATATCATAATAAAATGCTGACGGACAAACTGAAAATCACCCGATAGAGGTGAATATGCGAGTTTCAGGAAGCAGTTCAGAACAAGGAGGTCCGAGCAATGGAACAAGAGTTTTTTTGTCCTGACATTTCGGATTCCGTCGGGGATCCTTAATCATAGGTCATGGTAGGTTAGTCTGAGTCATGCACAGATTGGGGTAAAACACGCACAGATTACACATTATTTATAGTTCGCAGGGGTCATCCGCGTGCCTACTGTAATTATCCACGCCTGTAGCCACCGATTGGGTCTTAATTGGTGCAGAGATGGCTTAACACTTCCTGTTCGACTCATTAATTGCCACGATTTCCTTTTCCATGTCGAATGCGGGCTTGATAAATGCGCGAAAATTATGCTCACTGTCGTCAGAGTTGCTGTTAGGCCCGGCCCTTCCTACATGACCGATTCTTTTGCTCAGGCAATGTCTCAGTACACCGTATGGGAACCCCAAATCGTTGCGCTTGTTGATGGATTGGGGGCCTGAGTACCATGACTCGAGCAGCTCGCGACTCACGTGGTTGTCACCTCTTGCGAGGATTTCGGACTCGTCATACTTGAAAATTTGGCCGGATTCCGTCGAGTGAGCTGCAACCTGAAAGTTTGTGAATATTATTTTAAAATGAATAAGATGCTTGGTGCATCTGATTCACTTTATCTAAGAAAGTGTC